ACATATTTTACCCATTTTTTTAAGAACTTAACTTCTTCCTTTCATTTCGATGATTCTCTGCGAACGCGGAAAATTTGGAACTCAAACTGCGAATTGTCGGTATTTTCTAAACTGGAAAACTTTTCGGATCTCAAAAGTTGGTAAAGAAGAATTAGTCTCTACAATCGAAAGACTACTACTCTGTAAAAGAAGATCTAAATTTCTTATTATATTTCGACTTTCCAACTACCTCGTATAAAAGAAAGACAGCGAGAATATAAAGGGATGAAATAAAATTATGGAAGGCTAAAATGCTCGTACCTTGATACTTTCAAAAAAGGCAGCCGAATCAAAAGAGTTTCCAAAGTACCTTTGTTTAAACGCGACAAAGTTGGGAGGAGCACTGGCATCGAAAATACACGTTTCGGAAAATTCTGGAAAGCAATTCTAAGAGAAAGAACTAGTTACTTAACTGAGAAAATGCGAAGCAAAAGTACACTTACTGAAGAAAACCTCCTAAAAAGCATTTCTGTTACTTTTCTCAAAGATATCAGAAGATCAGATTACAAAAATCAGGGCAGATCTATGAATACCAGGTGCTTCTGTACAAAGCCGTAGTTCAACGCCCCCCATAAAATAAAAATTTGCAAATTGAAATGAAATGAATTTCGAGAAATTTATATTTATTTAGGTACTCATTTAAGCCTTTAGCAATTATTAGTCATTACTTTCGAAATCACTTTACTTGGTAAGTGCCGAGTTACTGAAACAACTATGAAAGTTTTACATTTGAAGTTGTAATGAGACACTTTAAGTGACAGACTCTGCCAAGAGGCGAAAAGTCCGATGAAGCGAAAAGTTAAGAGTAAATTTTGAGAAACATTAGTGCAGCCTTTTGGCAATAGATGGCGTTGATCGTTGCACTGGATTTCTGACGTCAGAATTACAGGTTGCTTGCTACCTTTGGCAGGATTTTCGCGGAGGTGAAAATTGAATTTTTTGTCAGAGAGAGTTGAAGCTTAATAATCAAAGCTATCTTTTTTTTTTTTTTTTTTTTTGTGTGTGTGTGTGTGTGTGTGTGTAACTGTTTTGCATTGGTAATATTTTCATTCTTGTCTTATTTAGGAATTTTGATTTGCCTATTCAGCATCGAACATTTTAAAATTTTTACCAGATTAAAAGTAGTAGGAGCGGTAAAATAAAAATATAGTTCAATCGTTTTATAGTCAAATTTTTTCTGTAATGACTTAAAACGACCATTTCTTAAAATGACCAGTCTTTCTGAAAATTTACATAAAGCATTGCTTTTAAACAATCGTCTTCATAGAAAACCAAATCTCTTTGGACATGTTGAAGATTGTCTTAGAAAGGCTATATTCTGTTCTGTAAATTTCTTCAATTTAAATGATAAGTCGTAGATTGAAGGTGATATATATATATGTCGGCATAACTAGAACATTTGCCGCCCGGAGCGAACCCTGAGTGTGTCGGCCTAGGCAGTCTTTGAATTTGTCTCTCCTCTTGGTAGAAGCAAATGACTGAATGCAAAAATGACATAGAGGAAAATAAATTAAAAATATACCTTTACTTCTGAAGAAACTTTACTTCTTTTGTCGACTTCAGTTTTTTGATTATTGACTTCGTTCTTAAAGTTACTTATGGTATTGACGTTCAGTTTTTCACATCGTTTAAAAGATTTAAAATATGCAGAAATTTAAAAGATAATGTAAAAGTTTATGCACAGAGTGATTTTTAATGCTCTTTACTAGTTTCTTAATTAAGCAAACGTAATTAAGCTTTTAATTATGAATACCAGAAAACGATATATGAATATAACACAAATGGAAATAAAATAAAAATACTTATGACTACATGGGAAAAACATGCAAATTAAAAATATAAGGTTCGGATTTACTGATAAATTGATTTCAAGTTTGTTAAACTGAATTGCCTATACGTTTTAAATTACTCAAGTTCAATTTCATCAATGAATTTGCTATTCAATAGAACTTATTTTTAAATTTAAAAAAAATCGAAAATTTAACATTTGCATCATTTGTTAGAAAATATGTTATATAATACTACTTCTTCCAGAAAAGCAACTCGAATTTTGAAATTATATATATATCTTTATCAGAACAATTCTTACATTTTTCAATATAGGAAAATTGATTAAACTGATCTTTTCCCAACGCATAAATCAAAAGAAGGTTAAATGAAGTAAATATGTGTAACTGTTGAAATAAATTAAAACATAAATGACATTTTTAGTTTTATATTTTTGAGAAATTACACTAGTTAAAACACAGAAATACAAAAGGGAATAAAAATTTATATACATTATGTGAATATGAATATTAATGTAGTGTATGTTTTCGCCCACAATTACAAATTAAGCAATTTGTTTCCTGCTGTTAATAATAAATGCTAGAAATATGAAATATAAATGTAATATGGAAACAGCTATTTTATATCAGTTAACAATGGATAATATTATTAAAAACATAAATTTTTAATAGCGTCAGAATTCAGATTTTCAAATAAATTAGGCTGATGTTTTATTAAACTGAGTTGCTAATAAGTTTCAAATTGTTTGTTTGAGTTTAATTTTTCTAGTACTGTTAATCAATCACTTACTAATCGTTTATGAAGGAGGTCACTGAAATATTTTACACAATGCCGTCAAATCTCGATCTTCTATTTGACTGACTGTCCACTGCGATATGATGATCTGCTGCTACACACGACCGTACATAAGTTGCTAGCTGAAATTTTTTGAGTGAAGGGCCGACTAGTCTAATGAACATTAAATCAGAAAGAGTTTTAACATGAAGAGACGCGCTTAGCGGATTGCATATTAAATTCATTGTCGAAAATCCTCGCTCGCACTCTGCACTAGAAACAGATGTGCAGTTTATTGATGACAAGAGTTTTCGTACTGAAGATTTTATTTGTTTTCCGTTAGTGTCTTTAAAAACTGTAAACTCCCTTAAAGTTTCTCGTTCATTTAGGTGGAACCTTTTGCATAAATTTCCTATTTTTTCTTCATCATACATCAGGGACCTGAAAAAGGCTAAAATTTCCGGTTTTTTTGAAAAAGGCCAAAAATTCGGGTTGAGTACTCTTGTGAGGATCTTAAGTTTTACTAGCGTTTATTTTATTTTAAAACTTTACTATCTTTTCTTACTTTCCACTTCCGGCCAGAATTAAATGCTTTAACTTGTTTTATGTAAATTGTACTTGCTAACGCCCAAGTATTTAAGTTGTGGCTTTTTGCCAAGAGTTAGAGAGAGAGGGAAAGTGAGCCGCCTTGCCACTGCATTGTGTACGAGTTTTCAATCAGTTGCTGCTTGTCTTTAAGGCCAGAGGTTTAGTCCTCTTGATATTTAAAACGTATTGTAGTTTCGGCAGTTTGCGTACTACATACGTAATCTTTTAAAAGGCCAGGCTTAGTGTTAGGCATTTGTAAACTAATTCAAAGTTAGGTCCTTATTTAGAATTTTAGTTAGTAGTTTTATATTTTTACGTTCAGACCACAAGTGGTTGGTCTCTGTATCCCAAAGTGCGGGAGCACCTGTGATCTTATAGAGAATAAAGCAAGGGTAAAGTAAACCCTTCCTGCTGGTCTTGTATGTAGGGTTTTTCTTAATTTGCATAACAAATTTATTTTAAGTTTTCCTGTTCTCAACTTCTCAAACTTCCCCTCACATTCTCTCGCCAGGATGTAAATTTAAAGTTAAGTGAAGTGCTTGTGGAGAACTCTTTATTATTATTATTATTATTTGTCCACTGGCCCAAGAGAGGCACCAGCTTTCTCCCTCTTCTCCACTAGGGAAAAATTTGGACTGGTTACTCTGTACCTGGCTGCTATCGGTGAAGCACGCGCTCACCTCTCTTCCGCTTCACTTTCATGATTTTTCACCTACGCGGACTTGCTAACTGTAAAAATGCTTATCGTGCGAACTGTAATCAATGTGACTGTGTATCAGTGAACATGTGTTAAAATATATATCTTTTTTTTCTAGTGTTAAATAAAAATGTTAAAAATCCTCAAACCAAGCTATCATCGTTTTATCTGCAGTAACCCAGAAATGGCATCCAAAAGCCATAAATCGTGACCCGTCAAGTTAGTGAACACGTGCCTCCTGGAACCTGCTTGCATCGTCAATTTCTGTGCTCATAAAGTGCTGTGAAGTGAAAGTATTGTCTGTTAACCCAAGCGAATATCGTAATCCATCATTATTTTTGTGTTATCGTCAAAATAGTGTGAAAAACAGTTGTGTCTCCTTAACAACGTGCTTGTGAATGTGCCTCACGCAAATCGTCAAAGTGCTTAGAAGTGATTTACATATATATCCTACAACGTGATTACATATCACAAAATAAATTTTTCGGAATCTTATTCTATAAGTGAATTGTGTTATGCTGAATCTACCGCTGACTGAGCAAATATTTCTCGTATAATTCGGAGGTAAGCCCCGCAAATTCTTAGTTAGTAATATTTTAAAACTTATGCATATATTCGGATAGCAAACCTACAAAAAGTGTTTTTCTCACTTTAATGCTTGCATTAACTTTATCTATTTTGCACAAGTATCGTATGTGAACTTATTAGTGACTTATTTTTGTGTATTTATTTATCTCACATTTGGCAATATATATATGTTTTTGTGAATAATGGCTCCACCACAAACCGTCGCAAACGATCTTAATATCTCATGTGTTTCCGTCAAACCTCCCCATTTTGGAAGGTAAATCCCACTTTAAGGTTTCCACGACTGGAGGGCCAGTTTGATATCACCGGAATCACTGTTGACTCCACGAAATTCAATCATGTGATATCTGCAATCGAATCCGATATTCTCAATAGCGTTTGTGATATCGTTTTGCACCCACCAGTGACTGGCAAATACGATGAACTAAAAACACGCTTAATTGAATTGCATTCTGAAAATGAGGAGTCAAACACTTCTTCAGGGGCTTGAACTTGGCGATCAACGCCCTTCCAATTACTTTGCCGTATGCGAAACTTCGTTGAAGAACCCTTGTTGAAATCTCTACAGGTATCCCGTCTCCCGAAAAATACACAGAGTATTCTTGCTGTCTTAAGTTATGAGCTCCCAAAACTCGCAATTGTAGCTGATAAAATTACAGATCTTACAACTCTCCCTAACATAAATAGTGCATCTACGGCATCTACTTCTCCCATTGAACAACAAGTTGCAGAGCTGACAAAGCAATTAAATGAACTTTTGCTAGCCATCAAAAACAGTCGTGAGCGTTCCTGTGAACGAACAGACAATCATTCCCAATGTAATAGAAGGCGTAATAGATCCAATGGACGCTATCGCCAGCATAAAGAACCGTGCAACAACATTTGTTTCTACCATACTAATTTTGGTTCCAATGCGCGGAAGTGTGTTTCTCCATGCAATTTCCGGCAGTTGGAAAACTAGATCGGCGATCGCTTGTCGGCCAACGTTGCGAGCGCCACATTAATCGAATTCTTTTGGCCGATCCATCGTCAAAACTCACCTTTTTAACTGACACCGGAGCCGATTTATCTGTCATTCCCAAGAGTTACAGTCAGCACGCCAAAAACCCAGCTGACTTCGTACCCTTTCCTGCTAACGGCACCAAAATAGCAACGTATGGCACCAAAATAGCAACGTATGGCACCAAACTCTTGACCATCAATTTAAACTTACGTCGCTCATTTTCTTGGCTTTTTGTCCTGCAGACGTCAATCAACCCATCATAGGTGTTGACTTTCTCAAGACGTTCAACTTACTTATAGATGTTAAAAACAACCGTTTAATCGATGGACAAACAAAACTATATTCTTGTGGTAGACTTCTCAATCTGAACCCGCTCAGTACTAGCATTCATATTTTGATGGGTAACTCAAAATTCTTGCCAATTACCCCAGCTTGACAAATCCTTCGCAAACTTTTGAGAGGGCGCCAATGTCAACAATTTCCCATCACATTGAAACTAAAGGACCCCAAGGACCCCCCTATTTTCTCAAAACCTAGAAGATTATCACCAGAATTACTTCAAGCTGCACGTCAAGAGTTTGACTTTAGCCTATCAAAAGGCATCATTCAGCCTTCAAAAAGTCCTTGGGCAAGCCCCCTGCATATGGTTCGTAAGGCGACCATGAGGGGATTATCGTCGCTTAAACGCGGTTATCATCCCGGATCATTATCCTGTACTCCATATTCAGGATTGCACTCAAATGTTTTCAGGAAAGAACATATTCTCAACTCTTGATTTAGCCAGTGCCTATCATCAAATCCCTGTTAACCCTGCAGATATTCCGAAAACGGCCGTCACTACTCCTTTTGGTCTTTTGAATTCTTGGTATGCCGTTTGGGTTACGTAATCCAGGCCAAACTTTCCAACGTTTTATACATGAAGTTTTATTTGAATTGGATTTTTGCATCCCTTATTTTGACGACATCCTTATTGCATCGACTAGTGAAGAAGAGCACAACCGTCATCTTCGTCAAGTGTTTGATCGTTTGAAAAAACACGGTTTGACCTTAAACCCTAACAAATGCGTACTAGGAAAACCATCTGTTTTCTTTTTAGGTTGCTTCATTACTGCTTCAGGTGTAAAACCCCTGCCTGAAAAAAAAATTGCCGACTTTCCAAAACCTACCACTATTGTCGAGCTCAGACGTTTCTTAGTCACGATAAACTTCTATCGCCGCTTCTTACCAAAGGCAGCTGAGACCCAAGCTTCACTGAATGTACACCAAATAGAAGAGCCATTATTATTAACTGAGCAGGATGTGCCCAACACTCCAGACAACACCCAGTACCCTTTCCCGCATATACATACGAGAAATGAGTTAGATGATTTTACTAAATAATTTACGAACGTGTTACACGCTGCATTCACCAAAAACAGCTAGGATGTTGCAGAAGAAAAACGATATAAATTCCTGCTATAAGAGAACTTGATTAAAAAAAACATGTTAGGAAAACTTGGCAAAAATCACGTTGTCGGCAAGACAAAAGATTCTTGAATAGACTCAATCATGACGTATGGACCCCCAATCAAAGAACAAGGACAAGTGGACTGGACCAGATACTTAGAACCACATTCAGCCTATAATCGTTCTCTCTGGAGTGCTGTTTCTAAGTATAAAACATGCAACACAAATATTCCGCCCCTTAAGGGCTTTAACGGGATCGCACACACCTGCATAAGTTGAGAAAGCTGAGTCTCAACAGGTCACTACGCATTTCAAATTTGTACTCACAACATATCCCACCCTCAGGCAGAACCTACAGTGTCATTACTCAATATACAGTTCTTTTCGAAAACACACAAAAATAAAATTACTGTTGACATGCCCTTGGTGGTGATTAAATATATCGAAAAGAGAAAATATCGCAAAAGTACGGGTCTGGATGAAGTCAGTAATAAGATGATCAGGGAAATGGGTGTGAAGATGATTTGCAAGTTCACCAAAATTATCCACCTTATGATCGAGCATCAACATTTCCCGACCACCTGGAAGACTGCCATCATTACCCCGATCTTAAAGCCTCGAAAAAACCCAGCTGACACGGCTGCATATCGTCTGATTGACTTACTACCCACGCTTAGCAAAATCGCTGAAGCAGTTATACTCCACCGTGTCAATAGCTTCATAGATGACAACAGAACCCTCACCCCACAGCAGCATGGGTTCAGAAGGAAACGCTCCACGACTCACAAACTTTACAGGGTGACGGAATTTATTACACAAAGACCTCGAAATCTCGAAACCACTGGAGCACTCTTTCTCGATATATCGAAAGTCGTATGGCTGCTGGGTCTTACTTACAGGTTAATTACTCTGTGGTTCCCAAATTACATCATTAACATCATTAATTCTCATCTTTACGATAGATATTTTTTCATTCGCTGTAATAACACATATTTTACACGGAGGAAACTCCTTGCGAGCGTCCCACAAGGTTCGCTCCTTGGCCCTGTTCTCTTTTCATTTTATGTGAAGGATATCCCACAATTACCTAACCCTACACTATCTATGTATGCAGACGATACTGCGATCTTATCACAAAATGCGTCTCTGCGTTTAGTCACGCAATCACTGCAAGACATATACATACACTGGAATCCCAGCTCATCAAATGGAAAATAAAAGTTAACGTCTAAAAGTCTGAAGCAGTTCTCTTCACCAGACAAAGAAATATCAATGTAAGCATCAACATGTACAATACCAATTATTCCGCGGACGAAGCAAGGAAAATACCTGGGTGTCATATTAGACCAAAGACTTTCATGGATTCCTCACATCACATTTATCATTAACAAGTTTCGGGCTTCTAAAATTTAACTCGCCTGCTTATTTTCCCGAAACTCCGTTCTCTCTCTTGACAATACGTTACTCCTCTACGAGACCATGCTGTGGCACATCATACGCTAGGCCTGCCCCGTCAGGGGTTTTCTTAGTGATACTCAATTTAAAAGATTACAGAAGCTTCAGAATGTAGTCAACCTTTGTAACAAGAAACATGCCCAATCGCCGAAAAGTTCACACATTAGCCGATAAACCGTCTTCTTTTTCTTCTGTTTACATGTATAAGTTTCGTGAAACTGACCGCACTTCATACAACGCTGTTTATAGTGGCATAACTCCCGTGAGTGCCCGTACCGTTGGCACTTGTGGCACTGCACGGGTTCTTTCTTTGCTTTGTAGAAAGTAATAAGAACATTTAATCCTCGTAGGGTTTCTAAATTATATATCTTCTTCTCCTCAGGGCATCTTTTAATTAACGCTTTAGAAATCTCATGGAGTTCTCATGAATATCTCATCTCATGGATCTTTTAAGATCCACAACGAAAATTGGGATATTAACTTTGTTTCCGCCGCTAAAGGAGGTGAGTTGTCTTATTTTTTCAGCTGGAATTTGATTTTCCGGTAATTCTTTTAAGATTAGTTCCGGATTGGTATTATTTGGGAGCTTTTTAATCACATCTTTCATGGCTTTTCATTATTTGGTTTAAAACTATCGAATTGTACGCCTATTCCTGAGAGGTAACTAGTAATGAATCGGTAATGTTCACCATCGTGGACTCGATGTCGTATAGTCAGTGAGCCTCCTTTGATTTCACCATAATAATCAGTGATATTATTTTTCTCGAGTTCGAGTTTAATTGCTTCCCAGTCGCCTGAGAAATCGTCCATCACAATGGGTGGGACGTGCATTTTACTTTTTTCTGGAATGATTTCAACTGGATCTCTTTCCATTTGATGATCCTGATCAAGTTTTTCGTATTTATTAGAATTTTCTAATTCGTTGGGAGTAGTTTCAAGAGATCTTTTGGCCGAATTTCTGGGTGATATAAATCCATCACTGTCAGCGATGTTTCGTTTTTTGCCGTTTTCGCTAGCTTTAGCAGAATAATCTTTTAGTACCTTATTTTCCGTTTTTTACGCGGATGATTTTGGTTTAATTATAGTATCAACTTGTACTTTCTTTTGTTTTTTTCAGTTCTTTAAAAAGGATTTCTAATGCGTTAATTTCGCCTTCGATTTCAATCGCTTTCTGCCTGTGACTATTTCTGGTCTCAAGATCTTTTATAGGTAAATTTTCGTCGAAGTGATTTTCTAAGTTAAGCTCTGCTGTCTTATTATTAACAGATTCAATTTTAGGGAAGTCAATTCCCAAAGTAAGTACGTCTCCTTCCATGATAAGTTTGAACTAAGCAATAAATTACTAGGAACAAAAAATAACACTTGCCGAAGGATATGCAGCATTGGGACTCCATATAACTCGATATTATAACTCAGAATGATGATAAGTTGTAAGGATCTTAAGTTTTACTAACGTTTATTTTATTTTAAATCTTTACTATCACTTCTTATTTTCTACTTCCAGCCAGAATTAAAAGCGTTAACTTATTTATGCAAAATTTGTCTGGCGAACGCCAAGTACTTAAGTTATGGCTTTTTGCCAAGCGAGAGAGAGGAAAGAATTAGTCGAAGCAGGCCGCTTACCTTAGAAGTTTTACTCAGTTGCTGGTTGCCTTCCAGGCCAGAGGTTTAATCCTCTTGATAATTTTAAACGTATTGTAGTGTTAACAGTTCTCTGTGCTACATACGCTTCCTGTTATTATAAGGCCAATCTTCCACGTGTATTATTCTAAAGTTAAATTAGAGTTTAGTTTTATTTTTATACTTTTTACGTTAGACCCCGAAGTGGAGGGTCAATGTATTCCGAAGTACGGAAGTTATTGTAAATAGAGAAAAATAAAGGGTTTTGTATACCCTTCTTGTGTATCCTGTCTACTTCCACAATTAGTTGAACATAGCTTTAGTAAGCTCTCTGTTCCGAGTCAGGTCCTTGCATGTTCCCGAAGAAGGTTAGAAGGAACATTGAACCTGATAGTGGCGCCCAACGAAGAAGAATAACCATGGCCGAGTTTCAAGAA